ATAAACTGCTTACTTACGAGCCATTTTCATGGGACAGATTGATGAATCCAACAACGGAAGTACCATGCCAGCGACCTCTTCGATTTGAGAAACAGAATAGATGTTTATAATATATTAAACCAAGTACAATGCCAATGCTAAGAAATAGTAGTATGCATAAAATAATGCCCAAATGGTTTGAACTTTCCAGCCTGTTGGTAGCGTCAGTATTGTCATTTATTGATCTCTCTTCTGTAAAATTGCATTTCTTCGAAATCGAGACTAATTGAGCCAGAAATAAATATGGTAGCTTCAATGCATTGTCCGTGATGATTACCTTGAGGTATAGGTATATCTTGAACAGTATAAAAAGCCACTTTACTGTCTTTAATTAAAAAAACAATCATCCAATTTTTAATTTCTTAATTTACCCTCTTTTCTTGCATTAAAATGTTTTTCCGAAAAATTTAGAAGAAACTTTTTGCATAATCTATATGAAAGAAAAAAACTATTCATGAAAGTTGGTAAATTTTGTCATTTCTTTCATTTTGTACTTGTAAGTGATAAAGTTTAGAAATATAAGAAAAAAAACCAGCAGTGTAATGTAATACGAATCCTTTGTTGGTGATACTGATATCAGTTTCAAAATAAACTGTCATTGTTTCAGCAGTACTTCGTAATAAGTCTGTGAAAATTTCAACTCCACTAGAACTGCAAAATTAATTTATCATTCAGATATGAATTGATATTGTGACTATTCCCTTCATTCACTTTATTAAAAAATTATGATGAAATTAAGTATTCTTTCTCTGAATGTAAACGGCATTTCATCAATAATTTCAAAACAGGATTGAAAAAAAGGCCTGAAACAAACATCCTAATTCGTCGATCGGTTGTATTGGTACCATCAAAAATAGCCAAGATATCTTCGTTAGGCTCCAGAGCCAATTCTGTGATATTTGCAACAACAATGTATCCTTTTGGTGCATTTATCAAATATTGACATTTCATTAAATTACAGTAATGATTAGGATAATCTGGTGATGTGAGCTGCTTCCACAAATCATTTTTTGCTTCCAGTTCCAAAAGGCCACATTCACATACTGAAGAATTGTGTTCAAAAGAAATTTTAATCTTAAATTTGAATCTGGGAACGCTCAAAATTTAAAACTTACCTGTTTTTGATTATTAATTAATCTATTTTTTTAATAAAACCAATAATTTTTATTGCTGAATATATCTAAAATTCATGAATGCTGAGCTAAAATTCAAGTTGATCCTTTTAGGCTTTCATATAGTGAACAAACTTCTCCCTGTAAACAAGGAAGAACATACTAAATATTTTGTAAACAAGAATGATTGTGAATTTTTTCAAAATGTGTAAAAAATTGGAAAAGCTTACCTAAGAGATCAGAGATCATTGGACTTTTTCTTAATTTTAAAAGATAAGAAAACTAACTTGATTTCCATTTGTAATCAAAATCAAATTGAGCAACATGTTTGTTAATATCAGATGCTAAGTGATACCAAATCATTATTGGTGAATCGTTCGTTATCTCTTCCGTTCCACTCCCAGCTAACGTTGGTTCGAAACTATACATATATTTTAGAAATTTAAACGATCACTTTCCATTTCAGAATTTAACAATTAGTAGTAGGTTATTTTTGAATAATTACGCAGTTTCTAATGAATATACCAACTTAATTACCAAGTTATTTATTATTTCCACACAAACTCAGATCATTTTCAAAAATTTTCAATTTTTTGTCATTGTATCAAAGAACACCCACACACACAACAACAATTATCAACATCTGCCTTTTTTTCCTAATCTTGAATTTTGTAACTCCAAATTCTGATATTTCGTCATTCGTTATCTTTCCATATTTCACATTTTTTGCTACTTCGATCCTTTACAGTAATAGCTAATGTTCTATTATTTATATATTTTAATAAACAAAATCGATCAAATTCCACACGTAGTATGAGTATCATATTAATTTTAGCAAAAAGTACTCATTTCTTCATTTTATAAAAACGCAATATTAGCAAATTCTGAGAATTGGATAATATAAAAAATTTTGAGAATTTAGGTAATTAACGATTTAAGCATCAGAAATAATAAACAGTGATAGGAATAAAAACGTTATGCAAGAAAATTGGATGAGAAAAACTATCACGCTAATTATTCTGAGAATGAATGGTACGAAGGAATTTACGAATTGAGCAAATAAAATTTAAACTTGGAGCATTGCACTCATAAGCAAAACTTAGCACTTATTTTGCAGAATTTCTCTATAGCTTACATAGTAATATCTCGTTCATTGAGATATGAAGGAACGATATTGTAATTATTGATGTTTGTTAGTACTTCCAAAAATTCCTCCTCTCCATTCTTAAAAGTATAAGTTATATTTACAACCAATCGTATACGATCCGTATCCAAAGCCTTTAATAAGTGTGAATGTTATTTTAACTATTATGGCACAATTTCTGCTATTAAAATACATCAAACTATCATTAATTATTTAGTTCAAATTATTATTCACATTAGTGAACATTTTTCTTTGCATTTCATCGTTATATATTTGTCGATAGCATTTTTCATCTGTCAACAGCAACAGGTTAGAACTTACAGTTACAGGACGATTAAACTGAAAGAAACAGTCTAGAAAGCCACAGTCTGCCGGTGAATTAAATAAAAACGTTCCTTCTGATGATGAAAATTCCAATAGTTGTGATTCACCTTTACATCGACAATCTTAAATTTTAAACAATTTTAATCTTTTTTTTT